AGTTCAAATCATAATAATTTTTAACCAAAACGATATAATTATCGTTTATCGTTTTATATAAAAAGAAACGATATGTATGTCGTTGTACTTATGATTTGAACTGTAACAATTTCAAACTCATCAAATTTGTACTAAAACGATATGGATGTTGTTATACTATTTTGTGTGTTTGATATATAACGATATAATTATCGTTTCAGTACAATTTTGACAACATTGATGCCATTTTAGTTTAAATCATAACTAAAACGATATATATATCGTTTTAGTTTATATAAATCGATAAATACATTGCTTATGCTAAAAATAACGATTCGATCGTCCACCCACGACCGCTCGACAATCATCCGGCATATGCATGACAATTGAAATAGGTCATTAAGTAGATCCGATCTCACTCAAAAGAAACTATGGGAACATTTGTGTTCCCATGATTGTATACCACATTTGAACTATTCTGACAAAAAGAAAGTATCTTTGTTCGGCCTTTCCAAGTCGTTCGAGTTGTATCAACACATTTGATGACCTCTTTCAATCGTTCTACGTATGTTGAAGGAATGTCGGTTGGCTGTGGACGGTCGAATCATTATTTTTAGCCAGAACGATATGATGATTCGACTGTGCAAGACCAACCGACATGCATCGACATATGTAGGATGATCGAAATAGGTCATCAAGTGGGTTTGATGTCATTCAAAAGAAACTATGGGAACATTTGTGTTCCCATGATTGTATACCACATTTGAACTATTCTGACAAAAAGAAAGTATCTTTGTTTGCCCTTTCCAAGTCGTTCGAGTTGTATCAACACACTTGATGACCTCTTTCAATCGTTCTACGTATGTTGAAGGAATGTCGGTTGGCTGTGGACGGTCGAATCATTATTTTTAACCAGAACGATATAATTATTGTTGTATACGAAAGGAAACGATATCTATGTCGTTGTAGTTATAATTTGAATTGAAACGATTTCAAACTCGTCAAATTTGTACTAAAACGATATAAATTTCGTTATGTTATTTCATGAGCTTGATACATAATGATATCATTATCGTTTTAGTACAATTTTGATGACGTTTATATTGTTTCAATTTAAATTATAACTAAAACAAAAATTATATCGTTTTAGTTTATATAAAACGATAGCTATATCGTTTCTGCTAAAAATGAAGATTCGACCGTTCACGATCACCCGACATACATCTAACATACATAGAACGATTAAATGGGGTATTCAAGTAGGTTGATACTACTTGAACTGCTTTGAAAGAGCGAATAGAGATACTTTCTTTTTATCGGAATAGTTTGAATGTGCTAGACAACTATGGGAACACAAATGTTCCCGTATTTTCTTTTGAGTGATATTGAATCCACTTAATAACCTTTTTCGATCTCCTACGTATGTCAGAGGCGATGTGTAATCGTGGACGGTTGAATCGTCATTTTTAGTCAAAATGATATAATTATCGTTTTATATGAAAAGAAACGATTTCAATGTCTTTGTAGTTATGATTTAAACTGGAAATCTCCTCAAATTTGTACTGAAACGACATGGATGTCGTTGTGTTATTTCATGGGTTTGATGCATAACGATATAAATGGTGTTACTAACTAAAAGAAACGATTTCAATAACGTTTGAGGTATGATTTGAATTAGAACGATCTCAATTTCATAAAATTTGTATTGAAATGTGGATGTCGTTATGCTATTCCGCAGATTTGATACATAAAAATATCAATATCTTTATGTTATAAATGAAACGATATCAATATCGTTATAGTTATGATTTGAATTAAAATGATATCAATGTCGTAAATATTATATTAAAACAGCATGAACATCGTTATGTTATTTCGTGGATTTGATACAGATAGACATTGATATTGTTACGTATTGAAAGAAACGATTTCAATGTCGTTGTAGTTATGATTTGAACTAGAATGATATCAATGTCGTAAATATTGTATTGAAACGACATGAACGTCGTTATGTTATTTCGTTGGTTTGATGCATAACGATATCAATGTCGTTACATATTAAAATAAACGACCTCAATGTCATTTTAGTAATGATTTGGCGCGCATGCATGGTCCATGCTGGTGTGCGCTCACCTCTTAATGGTCCATGTCGGTCGTAGACCGTCAAATCATCGTTTTTATCTAGAACGATAAAATTCTCGTTTTTTATAAAAAGAATCAATAGCTATATCGTTGTAGCTATGATTTGAACTGAAACGATCTCAATGTTGTCAAATTTGTACCAAAAAGACATATATGTTGTTATGTTATTTCGTGGCTTTGATATGAAAACGAAATGACACCTATATCATTTTAGTTGTGATTTATGCTGAATAGATTTCGCTATTGTCAAATTTGTGCTAAAACGAAATAGATGTTGTAATGTTGTTTCGTGGTTTTGATACTTATGATTTGTCATTGTTTTTTGAAAATTGCACGAGAAAAAATCTCCGTTAAACGAAGACGAAAGTTTGGGGACCGAAATGTCAACCCCAAGAAAATTTAGTTGGTGCGCACGCGATCCATGCCAACGTATGAGTGTCTCTAAGTTGTTTACCACCAGAGAGCAAATGATCCCTTGGACACACACGCATGGTTTCCTATGTCGTGCTAGTGCTGTGTAAGTTTTTTAGCATAACGACTTCTGTGTCATTTTATTGGTCTTTAACGACTTCAATGTCGTTATGAAAATCAGTAAGACTGTGTATTTTTTATACTGGAACGATATTTATATCGTTTTATGTCTTGGGAACGATTCCAATGTCGTTATGTGAATCAGTGCAATTTTCATATTGGAACGACACCAATATCGTTTATGTCATACTGCTTCTACATAGCATTGCAAAATAATTAATAATTAGCAAATGCGTAATCGACCTCAATTTGAATCAAATGTGCACTTCTAATTACAAACGATAAACACATTATTTATAAATTGTAGCCCACGCGGAGAACTTTTTATTATTATTTTTTTCATTTTAACACTGGCTCCTCAAAAAAATTGGAGCATAGTTGTAGAGCATTATCTCATAAGGCGTAAAGCTATCGTATAACTATATAAATCAATTTGTACAATCACAAGCATCTAACTATATAAATCAAATTGTACAGGAACGCTATATTAAAGTTGCCGTGATAGACAAAAAAGAAACATTCATGAAATATTTGCAATAAAATCACAGGTAAAAGAACAGTAACAGTTTTAAATTATGAATACAAATAGGATGTTTATCCAATGGAATACAACGATAGAGAGAAGAATGACATTCCACCTTGACAAACAAGGTGCCACGATTTAAACATCTTTATAAAAGAAATAAAACTAGATAAGGAAAGATAGAAATGCTATTACCACAAGAAAGAACAGTAACAGTGTTAAATTATGAATGCAATTAGTCTGTTTATCCAATGGAAACACAATGATAGAGAGAATAATGACCTTCCACCTTGTTTAACAGGGTGCCACAATTTAAACATCTTTATAAAAGAAATCAAACTCGGTAATAGCCATCCACGTGCTATCTTTCACCACACAATAAAATTCCGAAAATATACATCATAGCACATTCGTAATCTAATTGTTCCTATTGTCAAGAAAATTCCAAATTCTGATCATTCTACAACCAAATAAATGCACGAGTGAACCATTTAGAAAGGATAAATCTAATACTATTCAAGGGATGTATCAACCTAGACCTATCCTCACTCCTCTGTAACCAGACATGCTTGTGCGATCGATTTGAATTGTTTCCAATGATCTTATACTATTCTTGTGGCTTCCTAATAATTGAAATATGAAATGGAACTTTTGGCTTTCTTTTTCCGCCACTTTCACTTCTTGAACCCTCCCTCACCCCTCACCCACCTCATCGACATTCCTCTTTGCCATCAACCCTCATCGTTCTCACACCGCTCTCATCTTCCTTCTTCTGCAACCTCTTAAATTCATCCGGCTTGCATCGAACTTCTAAAAAATATCGTCATTCACATTCATGAGCCAATCATACCTTGCATCATCATCTAACTCAATGTTTATATCATCCGAAAATGCAATTGACTTCATAAACAATTTTTTCGACTTCCCATTCCCTTTAGCAAATTTACCGACTTTTGATCCATTTCCTTAATGGACTTCCCGAATTCTTTAAAATTATTGTAGAAATGGAAGTCTCATTCACAAGGTATACCTCCAGATAAGCCTGAAAGCTTCGCTGTTGAAATGAGTAATTGACCTTCATCACGAAAGTTCGTAAAGCCTGGGATTTTTTCGAGTCTTCATCCTCACTTCGATCAATCTGCATGATTTTTGTGCTATATCTTTGGTTTTTTTTTTTTTATCAAAACTTTGGTTTTTGCTTTCAGAGAGAGGATTCAATTGTTAATTTGGGGAAGAATGGTTTCTAACATGAATTAAAGGCTCGATTCTCTATTTTGGTTTTATAAAAGAAGGGTAAAGTAGTATTTTAATACTTTTAAATAAATGCCCGATTCATTTTTTCGCGTGTTTTGGGAAGAAAACACTCAAAATGTCTTTTTAGATGTTTAGAGTTTTTAGTAGAATTTTTTTTTTCAAAAATTCATTTTCGAAAATTGGAAAAAAAATGTAATTTCACTATTTTGAAAAATCGAAAATAAAAAAGGTTACGAAAACAGCAATTCCCTAAATTTTCTTTTCTTTTGAAGAATCTAGTCAAAGCCCTTTTGGACAAAAAATATATTGAGAGTTGGCCACCGGAACTAATTCACATTCTCCGGTTGGGCCCGGTTCTCTGCTCCTAGCTTCGTTTACAGAACACACACATCTCTCTCTCTCTCCAAGCACCATTTCCAGATCCAACCTGCATCGAGCTCAGCGTGATAAATTTCGCCATTGATACAGTCCCAGATCAAAATCCAATCGTTCATTTTGCATTCTATTTGTCTATGTATATTTATATAATCTGTATACACATATCTATATATGTATAGATCTTGATTGCATAATGGATTCACCGCCTTCCCAGTCGCCGGGAAGGTCCGAATCCCCGCTTGCGAATAGCAAAAGATCATCTAGTTTCGCTTCTTCAGCATTATCGAAATCACTTTCTGATGCCAGCAGCCAGAGCTTTTCCTCAATCCTAAACAACCCCAGACCTTCTTCGTCCGTCGTGGGCTGGTGGTCCTCCTCTACCTCCGTTCCAGCTCCCGAATTTACTCCTTTGCCCTCTGTTCCAAAGCCAGGATCCGAAATCACTCGATCCGACTTTCTTTCTTACCTGTCGTCTGTCTCAGAACCTCACTCCCGTTTTCAAGATATTCTCAAGCAGCATGATCGCGACCACCAGGTGCTGGATGGAGTTTCGGAAGGGGTTGCGGGCGAAGCGCTAGTGGCGTGTCTTAGGGAGGTGCCAGCGCTGTACTTTAAGGAGGATTTTGAGTTGGAGGATGGCGCGACGTTCAGGGCAGCGTGCCCGTTCAGGACGACGTTGGAAAATCTTGCTCTCCAGGAGAGATTGTCGCAGTATTTGGATGTGGTGGAGTTGCATTTGGTTAGGGAAATCTCGCTCAGGTCCAACTCTTTTTTTGAGGCGCAGGGGCAATTGGAGGACTTAAATGCTAAGATTCTTGAGGGGTGTGGGAGGGTCACGGAGTTGAAGGAGACCATTAGGCTCTTGGACTCCAACTTGGTGGGTTCTGCCAGGACGGTGCAGGAGCTAAGCTTGAAACGGGGGGATTTGATATCTCTGCACAACAAGCTTAGACTTGTGCTCTCTGTTAACCAGGCTCTCTCCACTCTTCGATTGGTAAGTTATTTCCAGTATTGTACTTGATTGAGTGATTTGTATCCTGTTGTTGCAGGTGATAGTTGTCGAGGCTAAACTTCTGAAGCTTAATTTACATTTAGCAGAGATTGTAACTCTAGTTCTAGTGTCATGGACAGAAAGCCACCTATAGATCTTTTCAGCTAGAAACACAGGTTAAAGATCCCGTGTGTTCTTCTATCCGTAAAATATGTCAATGAGATAGACAAAAATCATGGAGATTGACGAAGATCACGAAAATTGACGAAAATTAAGTCTTAACATAATTATGTATATAATTTTATTTACCATATTTGGGTTGATTACATCTACCATATTTAGATTACTACCATAATTGCATAAGGCCATACCCTTAAGGGAAGATCATTTTGTCTAAGTATGTCATGGTATCGGAGCCTACCTCATGGACTTTATATTGAATCCTCGATTTTCTTTGGGCTTAACTCAACCTCTTTGGTGTGGGTTTCTTGTTGTGTTCGACAATTGACAAAATTTTTGTCAATGTGTGACTCTTGTGGTGGTCGACGTTGACAAATTTTTGTCAACGTCGACAATGGAGTTGTTGAATGAATTTAATTACATTTTACATAGATTATTGCAGTTGAGCCTTTTGAGTTCTTTTGTGGGCTGTCCATTTGGGCCTATTTTGGAAGGGTGAATTGTGATTCGTGCGTGTGGTTATTTTTGGGCTGCCCATTGGAGTTGGGCCTTGGAATTCTTTTGTACATCAATCTACAAATTGATATTTGATCATCTAGTTTCAATTTGAAGGGGAATGTCAATGAGATCGATAAAGATAATGGAAATCGTCGAAGATCGTGAAGATCACGACTTAACATAATTATATATATAATTGTATTTATCATACTTAGGTTGATTACATTTACTATATTTAGATTGATACCATAATTATATAATGTAATATTCTTCCTATATAATGCATGGAATCTCTCAAGGGAAGATCGTTCAATCAAAAGTTTGTCAAAATGTTCCCCCGTTTGATTTATAGTCCTTGTTTGAAAGAGACTTTCAAATAGTCACTTTTCCCTTACACTCATTTTCAATCACACATTCTCCAAAAAAAAGGTAAGATCATTTTTCATGTTCCCTCATAATTTCACTTTTCAAAAAAATTACTTTCATGCAAGCACCTTGTAACATCTACTTTTATCTGTAAAATGCCCATTACCCTATTGTATTTCAAATAAATATGAACAAGATGTTTACATTTGAGAACGATGCCAAGGAGTGGACACTATTAGCAATGACACCATGGATTTGTTTACCACAATGCAAATTTCATAACAAAAATCTTGCTTCACATCTGGAGGTGAGCATTATATATATGATGATATTGGGGCAACCCAAATGCAAATTCTCTATCGTGATGACAACAAGAAGAAGAAACTAAGTCACATTTCAATCAATTTGAGGATATTATCTTTCATGATAAATGAAGCAAAACTATCTTGGCTCTGCGTGCCTAAAATGAGATACATCAGTGGATTCAATATAGTGTAAGCTGTCAATTAATATTATCACAATATAATGGCTGTCAACTTTCGTCTTGTCATTTAATGGTTCCAATTTAGCTTTTGTGTTCATTTTCCCTGCCCAGAGCCTCTTTGTGATTAGCTTTTACCTTATCTCTGGTTATATTGTTGATGGTGTTATGCTTCTAGACAAGTACTTATGGGCATTACCAGTTAGTCTGTGGCTTCATTTTTTAATTTACGTATTACTAACGAGCAACTGTTAGCATGTTGATGTACCATATCCATTGTCTATGTGCAGCTTGTCGCGTCCGCAGATTGTGTTGGAGCTTTAGACATTACTGATGATTTGCAGCATTTATTGGTATGTCTGTGGCTGATGATTCTTTTTGTTTTTCTGTTTATGATTGCTTAAAATATCTCACTTTATAATCGTGCTGATTTTTTGTTTCTTTCATTCATTTTTTTAATATATAATATAAGTTGTGGTGTGAGTTCCATAACTATTTTCTTTGATTGGCCTCTGTGTTACTGGGAAGATCTGTGTGTTTTTTTTTTAATTTGTTCCTGGTAATTCACGAGTTTGATAATTGGCTCAAGGTTCTTTTAACTCGGTGGTAGAGTAAAGCCGCGTAAGTCATCGGTTCTAATCTGGTTAGGGGCTTTGTTTTTGTTTTTCATAAAAAGTCCAGTTGTGGTATTTAAAAAATAGAGAGATTTGTTTTATTTGGAATAAAAAAGTAAACTTTCCACAAGATTGGTTTGAATGATTACCTTCATAGTTTTGCCTTTTCCATTGTTTATGTAATTTCTCCATTTTCAACTGCAAGAATTCGAGAATGCTTTTTCTTTTATGCCATGTATATTTCTTCATTCTTAATGAAGAAAAAATCAATATAAAGTATGACAATATAAACTCAGTTTAAATGTCTAAAGCAGTGTAGCTTCCTTTTTTCTTTAAAAATAAAAATAACGCAGTGCAGAAATATCACGAGAGGAGATCGTAACTGTTTGGACAGAACTGGCAAGAACAATAATGGCCTTCTGATGTTTTTGGAAACTACTACAAATACTATTTTCATAGTAGCACTCAATTAGGAGTATCGTAATACTTTGCAGAAGAAATAAATAATGAATACTGTGGCCTACCTTTGGATTCATTTGATTTGGTGCTTTTACTTTTCATACTGCACAATTCATTTCTTACAACTATTTCTATGGCAGGGGAGGTCTGTTCTTTTTATCTTCTCATTTATTCTCTTTCCATTTTCCTCCTTTCTTCCTACAAACACCAATGCTTATTATTTTTGGTAGGATGGTGATGAGCTGACTGGTTTGCATTGCTTTCGTCATCTTCGGGATCATGTAGCAACTTCAATAGATTCTATTAACAGGTTAGTATTTTGTGCTCTGAGATGAAGGTTCAAGGCGGATTCTTATTTTTCTAGTGTTGCTGCTGTCCAGCTTAAGAAAGCTGTTTGAATGTATTTTTCTCCAATATCTGTTCTTTTGAGGAGACTTTCCTACTGTATTAGAGGTCATCTGGTGCAAGCCTTCAGGAGCATAATTAAAAGCTGGCTGTTATTGGTTTTTGGTTCCTACTGATTGCCTTTTCTGTTGGTTTTTGCTCTTGATTGGGGCGGTATGTTAATAATCTCCGACCTCTCTGGTCCACATTTAAAAATGCTTCTATATAAACTGATCTGGAGGTCTTACATTCTTCTCAGTAGCAATCACTGTAAAATTGGAAGCTGAGAATGTGGTCACGCATGAGTCTGATTCTGTGTTTCTGTTTCACCTTATAATCCACCCTACACATAGATCCATACTCTTGATGGACAAACCTGGATCTTAGTAGAAAACACCAAATGAGTTACCACTCTCTTATATCTTGTTACCCCCCTTGACTTTTTTTTTTTTTTTTGGGTTCAATTACCATATTTTGAAGTAAAATCAATTTACTGAGTTTTGGAGGCATTTTTCACTTCCAGATACGCTAAAAAGTTTGTAACTCAAAATTCTAAAACAGCATAACATGGATAAAAAATATTTAAGTTGATAAAAAAAAAATAAAAATAAAAATGGTGGCGAGTAATGTGGGAAGAACCAATGAATGATGAAATGATTACTTGCCACATTCAGACTTTCTCATTCATCAAACATATATCGTTGATTAACAGCCTGGTATTTGTTTGTTTTGGTCTTTGGTGTATCCTTTTTCTAATGTCTTCTGTACTGTCTATATGTTCTGTGTCTTGTTATATAAGATGTCCTAAAGCTTGTATTCCTGCTGCATAGATTGTGAAAATTTCAACAAAGCATTTCTTTGGGTATGTGAATGACAATATTGTCATAATTATTTGAATGAAATACTGAAGTTTATCTAATAATGTAATAGAGTTGACAAAGAAGTTGAGAGTGAGGAAGAAATATTCTTCAGAGAATAGGCCTTTTAGTTGCAAATAAAGTTCTTTAGCAATTAACATAAATGGTGAGTGTAGCCACTTAATACTTTTTGTTTCTTCATTGCTTATTTTTGAATGCTTGTATTATTTTACATGATTTAGTTCTCGATTTTTAACTCTTTTACTTGACTCTCCGGAGTTGCTTTAAATTGAAATTAATTTCTTGTTTCAGTATACTACATTTACCAAAACATTAACTTCATTTTCAAGTTACACTTGAATTTATAACTTTTTAATTGGGCATTGATCTTTGTTTTTCGGCCAACAACCTAAATTTACCTTATATAACAGATTTTTTTTTTATAGTTAACACACATTTTGATTATGGAATTAGATGCAAGGTAGCTTGGTATTTTGACTTATCAAATTCATTCTTGTAGCATTCTTTCAGCAGAGTTCATCCGTGCATCTTTGCATGGTGCTGATGATCTGGAGGCATCATTAACAAGGCATAGCTCAGCTTCTAATGGAAGAGATAATGAAGTAAGCATGAGATTTACGTGTGCTCACCTTTAGGTTAATATGGATGCCTGTTTTAGCTGCACCCACACGTAATGCTGATGTCTACTATTCCATAAGCTTTCATGTCTTGGATTCCACTTCTCTCTGTGCATGGGAAGAAGTTGTCATAGAGACTACTCTCTGTGCATGGGAACAAGAGTTTGTCATAGAGCCTACTCATTTCAGGCTCTTCTGTTCATCTGTATTGCTATCATCTAGTGGTTTTCCACCGTATTGTTCTAGATATGAAAATATTGCTTAATGGTTGATAATTCAACTGATAACTTCTGAAATGCTGAGGTTGCTGACTGCTATGTTCATATATCAATATCTTTTGATTTCTTTTTCGTGGGTTTTAGTTGATTCGAAAGATGCTTACCTTTGAAGTTACCTGCACTTTCGCTTACAGTATGCTGATGTGCTCTAGCTGATTTTCTGGTTCACATTGTAATTTGGGGTCTTGTTTTCTCCATCGTGATCCTTATGCAGTGTGTTTCTTGTAGCCTTGCTTTACTGTTTTTGATTGTTGTCATGTCCTTTTTAGCAGTCTGGAAGCTTTCTGATTCTGTTTCTCTTTGCTTCCTTGTTTTTTAATTGTTGTCATGTCTGTTTTAGCTCAGTAGTTACTTTCTGTTTCTGGTTCTCAATTGCTGCTTCAAACAACTTTATGATGAAGACTAATATTAAAATAATGCAGGTTAGACTAGAGGAAGCGCGGATTTCTAATTTTCAAGACCAGCTTCTTCCCCTTATCATTGGATTGCTTAGAACGGTCAGTTCCACATTTATAATGTAACAGACTATTTACCTACTAATCATCTGAGTGGTTACTTGCCTAGCTGAAGTTCATGATGCCTAGATTGAAGAATCCTCTCATGTCTGATGCTCATTTCAGGGAAAGCTACCTGCTGTGTTGAGAATATACCGTGATACACTTTCTTCTGAAATAAAAACTTCAGTCAAACTGGCAGTTGAGAATATGCATTTGGAGTCGGATTCTGTTTCTGGAGATGGGATGGTGGATGGAGATGGTGGGTTCACTTGCATATTGACCCTTCATGAGTGTTTGATTTTCAGACTAAATAGCATATACACGCCTAAAGTCACATCCACTTTCTTCTTCAGCTTTTGATGAGCAATTTAAATTTCAGTATTGGGACTTGGTGTATCCACTACATAAGAGAACCAGCTTTGCTAAAAGTTCTTAGCTGTAAACTCTACCTTTTTGTTCTGATTACATGCTAAATAATGATTCAGGTGGAGGCTCATCACTAGGAGCTAAGTTGAAAAGTCTGTCACCTGACGGCTTTCTTAAACTTTTGGAGGAAGTTTTCATGATTGTACAGGTAATGCATACGTTCCCATTTCTTCTCCATCTTCAAGACTATATTTATCAACACTAAACATATTACATTCCACATGACATTGCTTCTAGTGGTGTAACTGCGATTCATGATCGTTGCCTAAGTTCCTGTACAAAATTTATAAATTAGCAACTACAAGTACTGCCTACTTGATCCATGATTCTTCTTTTGGGGAAGCAATGATGTGATGGAATCTTTCCTTAAGAATGAGAATGCCTTTTTGTATGATGTGCTCAGAAGTCTAGCCAATACTATATTTTAGATCAAAACTTGGCTTCCATTTGGGAAGAATTTATAAACGTTTTAATTAATTTCTTTTGGGGAAGCAATGATGTGATGGAATCTTTCCTTAAGAATGAGAATGCCTTTTGTATAATGTGCTCGGAAGTCTAACCAATACTATGTTTTAGATCAAAACTTGGCCTCTGTTTGGATAGAATTTATAGTGAATAGATAGAAATGAGGGGTGGATAAGTGAAGAGTACTTGTTATAAATTTTGCCAAATGGAGGCTTAATTTGAATAAATACCGGAAAGTCAACAGTGCCATGTGCACAATACAGTGGTAAATAGTAACTCTTCATCTATTAGTTCTTTGGATATAACGTGGTGTAGGCTGTCTAAAAAAGAAGAAGCAATGGAAGTGGACGATTATCAGCTGATATTTCCTTAAGTGTGTCTGGAAAGCAAGGAGTTACTATATGGCTAAAAGGTCTAAATATAGGGAAACATGGAAGAGGTATTACGAGGAATAAAAATACATGAAAAGAAGAAAGTCCGAAGCTATGCTGCAGCCGATGAATAGTTCCATGAACAGAAATTTTGAAGAATTAATTCTGATTTGGTTTGTCATGTTGTGGGGAATCAATTGCAAAGAGGGAAAGGGTCAAGGAGAAATAAACACCGAAAGAGTTTATAGTGCAGAAGAGCATTAGAAATTGTTATATAATTGTACCCTGGGTCTCTAATCAGAGCTTCTTAGCTTTTGAAAAAAGATAAGCTACTGCTTGTTAGATTTCTTTTCAACATGAACTTTAGGATTCCCCTGGGAATTCCGATTTTAGTTTAACTTTATAAGGTGGATCCCCTACCCCAGTTGCCAACAATTTTCACATCGATCTTTTCTCATTTCATACAATATCTGCACTGCCTCTTTTGTTTGTCTTTTTGTACTCAATTCTATTTTGCTGTGTTTCTCAAGATTCTGCTCTATCCCTGCTTCGTTTTCTCGACTCAAATAAAATTTATGTTCATGCATCCTATTATTTTTGTGGAAAATACTTTCAGGCCTGTTGGTGTTGTGCACTAGTCCATGAAATTTTGTTTTCTAGCCTTTCTCGAGGATCTATATACTTGATATTTGCATCGGTTGAATGAATTGACTCAAAAAGTTTAGCGTCATTCATCGAGATTTACTTTGCGTTCTTGGTACACTCTTGATTCTAAATTTGGCCCGATGTTACTTGATTCTTTCTTTTAGTGAATGCAGGTACACTTGATGCAGGCTTCTGACGTTAAAAAAGCAATAGAGTGGATCATGGGCAATCTCAGTGGTCACTATGCTGCTGCTTCAGTTGCTGCTGCAATTGCACTTGGTGCAGCTGCTCCAGACACAACACAGGAGACTTACGGGCACGGTAGTTCAATTTTATCACAATCTTCTGAGGGGAATGTTACCAGAGTTCCATCTATCCAGGGACGGGGAAATGATACCACAAGTCTATCAAATCTTTCAAGAAACTTCCGGTAAAATTCTGTTCCCTTTTGCTGATATAGTTGGATACACATTTCTTTGGCCGCTTATTCAGTTGGCAGGGAAATAGAAGGGCAGTGGAAAACTTCTTTTGGCTCATGGGTCTTCGTTAAATCTGTAAAATTTTCTCATTGATATTTAAAGCAGACAGAGCTTGCATAACGTAAAGCACCCTGTAATCATGGCTAGTTTTACTGGATATGGGGGAGGGAAAGGGTTTCCTGAGCGATGTGAGAAAAGGTTGTTGCCAATGGAGAAGAAAGGTTAGCCAATCCTTCCTGACGAATAAACATAACTGATTCTATCAACTCTGATTCCCTGACCAGGTTGGATAAAGGCCAAAACCATCCTAGTAATTAGAATCACAGAATTCGGCTGGCATGTAAGGACATCAGATGTTCCTCTACTCCACCCAGTTCTAGCAAATCTTAATACAGTGCGAAAAATTATGTCTATTAATTGCCGAGGGATGTAGCTTATTCTGCCAAAGGGAGGTCCTTGAAAATGCTGGCATTGAATAGAAAGAACTTTTAGACTAACTTTTGTACAATTGGTATGGTTTTGTCTTACTTTCTTCACATTGAAAGTAAAATAACAGAGAAAAAATAATGTTCCAGTTATCAAGTGATGAATAGTATCAGATATAAAAAGCTTGGGTTAGAGTTCCCCTCAAATGAATGCCTCTCAAGGATTGATATATGTAACTTGAAGTTGATTTTTCAAATTCAGCAGTGCTATGATTTATTTTCTTTATTTTCTGAAATAACAAATTTGAGGGCCAACTACATTGCCTATATGATTCTGGAGACATATTTAGAAATGAAAACGGACACGTTTACAATGTGAAATGCATACACGCTTAATTAACATATATTTTACCTTTTTGTCGACAGAGCTGATATTTTAAGAGAGAATGCAGAAGCTTTATTTGCAGCCTGTGATGCTGCTCATGGAAGATGGGCAAAAATTGTTGGCATCCGTTCTCAAATTCATCCGAAATTGAGGCTACAGGATTTTCTAAGTGTGTATAACATCAGTCAGGAATTTATAAGTTCAACAGAGAAGGTATCTATTGATTTCCTGGTCCATTTTTTTAAAATAGAGTTTTCCCAAAAAAACCTGCTAGTGGAGGAAGACTTCCCAAGGATAAGAGACGTAGGGCTAAAGTATCAAATAGAGCTTTGTGTTATTTTGGTCATGATACCGTATTATGCTAACATAAACAGATTGGTGGAAGGTTGGGATACAGCATTCGTGGAACGCTACAGTCACAAGCTAAATCCTTCATCGAGTTCCAGCATGAATTTCGAGTTAGTTAACATGCCACCTGACTTTCTTGGTTTTTACCAGGTTTCTAGCTATTGTTCCTAGACTGATTCCCATACTGGTATTATAGATGGCAAAGATGAAGGCTTTACTTGACCAAGAAAATTGGACTGAGATAGATGTGCCAGATGAGTTTCAGACCATTGTCACTTCATTGTCTTCTTCAGGTTCCATGTCTGATGGACATAGAGCTGAAGCTCCTGGTACATCTAACAACAGTGAAACAGTATCAAGCAGTGATGATTTCCCCATGGCTGATGCTGGACTTTCAAATTCGTCTCAACACATTGAACTGCTTGATTCTAATGGAATGTCAGCAGGTCATGCACCAAACACCGATTCTTCATGCCTGAGTGTGGCATCTGAGAGTGGTAATAGTGATGTTGGAACTTCTTCCACTCACAGTAATAACGCTAATACGAGAGAACGAGGAAAATCTTCTCTCCGAATGCTTTATCTTAAAGGTGTTGGATATCACATGGTAAACTGGTGAGCTATCCATATTTATTATTTTCCTCTGAATTTTTAAAATTCTAATGTTTACTAGCTCATTTGGGAAACAATAGACATGTTTCTTCTATTAGTGCATTAATAAGTCATCTGATCTAAATAAAATGGTAAAAGGAAAATTTAGGAAATGAACTACCGAGGTCACATAATCTGCTGGAGAGTTCACTGCACTACCCGTGGCACGCTGGGCAATGGGAGCCTCCCTGATGGTGGGTTCAATAGATCTATAAAGAATTGAAAAATAAGAAACTTCACCAACTCAACATTTAGTTCACTGATTGTTTGGTTCTGGGGTATAGCTATTTGTGAAGTACCAGGAGCTTTTTGCCTACACCAGATATTTCAATACTGCATTATCTTTCAACCTTATGACTGCATTGATATTTGAAAAATTAGTAATCTTCTTGATATCAGCTACTATATGTCCTGAGGCAAAAAAAAACAAAAACAAAATAATAACTTGATAACTAACCTCGTTTCTTTGTTTTTCTTTTTTTCTGCCCTTCAGTGGCTTATATTTGGTGAAGATGTTGTCAGAGTACGTTGATATGAATAATTGTTTGCCGACACTATCTGCTGAAGTTGTTCACCGTGTTGTTGAGATATTGAAATTTTTCAATTCAAGGACATGTCATCTTGTTCTTGGCGCGAATGCCTTGCAGGTATTTTAGTGGACATGTAATTGGTGACTTTCTATTAGTTGGTTGAACAAAATGCCCAAAAAGAACAATAGCATAAATAGAGACTGTCAAATATTGCCACTTGATGTGAAAATTACGTCTATTTTATATCGTGGAATCAGCCTTAAAAATCATGATTACTGCCCTTGGTGTCCATTTTGCTCTGGCATTTAACAATTATATGGCATAGGTACAGATCTTCTCATCTTCATTATATTATTTGCATCACATTTTTAGTCAGGGTCAATTTTTCCATTATCCTTCACTTCATTATATGTATAAAACTAAACTTCACCTATTAAAAAATATTTAAAAAGTAGGTAGATGGAGATATAGATAAAATGATGAGTCATGAGTGAAGAGAGATAAATTTCCTTGCATGCTGCCTCCTATCAACCAATGATGCTATCTTAGCTGCAAATGGTTCCTTATTTGGTTTATCAATTTTTCCACTTTTTAATGTGAATAGGAATATGAGCTATTACCCCCTGGAAGGCAAATGAATAAGCAAATTGCTTAAATAAATACGCTCGGTGCAGGACCTATGTATTTCACCTGTTGTAGGACTAGCATTGAAGATGCCAGATTTACGTTGAAATATCTACTGTTAACTATCGCTACATAACTTATTTACACCAGACTTCTTTTGCGGATGAAGTGTGAGCTTAACAGTTAGATGCACGTGTGGGGAGTTCAGGGGTTAAAGGTGTAAAGTTCAGTTACAAAGAGGTTAAAATCGTGTCCTTCCATCTCGAAAAGGACTGTCTTGATTGAATACAGATTTTCCAAAAGAAAATTAACATTAAGGGTGTGTTTGATTGCAATGGTGGAAAATGGGAGGAAAGAAAATGATTTACAGGGAAAATAATTGCATAGAATTTTTTTTGCAGGGAAATGTTAATTAGATGCGTTTGATTGGTATAATTTTTCACATAGAAAATGTTGAAATTTTCCATCTTTTGGTGTTTGATTTGATTTGTTTTCCATGAAAAATTACGATTATTTGTGCGATGCTATCAAACTCAACAAAACTTTTCCGACAATATCCGTTCGTCCTCCGGCATCAACACCGCCTGCGCCTCCTCCTACTCCAACAACTTCTCCACCACCTACAAGCCCAACTCCCCCAATCAGTTCTCCACCACCAGCCTCCTACTACTCCAACAACTCCTCCACCACCTGCAAGCCCAACTCCCCCAGTACCTGCAAGCCCAACTCCCCCAGCCAGTTCTCCACCACCAGCCCCCCAGCCTCCTCCTACTCCAACAACTCCCCCAGCACTTGCAAGCCCAACTCCCCCAGCCAGTTCTCCATCACCAACCTCCCAGCCTCCTACTCCAACAACTCCCCCAGCACCTTCTCCACCACCAGCTTCCCAGCCTCCTCCTACTCCAACAACTCCACCAACCTTCCAATACACATGCTTCAATTTCTCCACCAATTCCTCCCGCATCAATCCAACCTCCAACTAACTCCCCCACCGTCCCTACAGGTGGGAATTTGTGAACAGGAGGAACCCCAACCGAATCCGTTCCTCCGAATTCATCTGAAGAAATTGGTTCAACCGAAACCGACTCTGAACAGGAGGAACCCAACCTCCAATTGCCAAAAAGCCCTCTACTGCACCCGCCCCTAAGAAACCCAATTTGTCCTCTTCCTGCCTCCAAGTGATTTCGGACCCACGTCTCCGACCAATTTCGTCGCCGCAAAACGACCTGCTATGGAGAAGGGGAGTGATGTCAAGGATTCTAAAAGGCCAAAGAAAAAATCAGAGATTAACGACGAAAATTCTGTGTCTCCACGTACTCTCTGCCGTCGCCGTTGCCATCGCCGTCGTCTGGCTGTGGTGGATGACCCCATCGCCCCCCAGATTACTATCTTCCTCCACCGCCAACCGAGCACAAAGGTTTTGTGATTTTCCACCTTGGGTGGAAAATGAAATCCTAGCTGAAGGAGAGGAAATAATTTTCCTTCATTTGGTGGAAAATCAGGCGCGTGAGGTAGAATAAGGAAAATGTTTTACCTGGAAAATTAAGTCTATCAAACATGTTAAAAAGTGGGAAAATGAATTTATTTTCCATTTTACCTGGAAAATAAGGCCTATCAAACAGGGTCTAAGAGTCCGTTTGATAGGCAAAGGTGGAAAGGAATTCCAATTCCATGTTAGTTGGAAAATAAAAATCCACCAAACCCATAGGAATTCGTTTTCCATGAAAAGAAAGAAAATGCAGCTTAAAGTGGTTGTACTTTGGAATTCGGTTTCCATTTTCACGTTGCAATCAAACGGTTAAAGTGAAAATGTGACATTTTCCATGGAAAACATTGCAATCAAACAGGGCCTAAGGCTATTTTGTCTTGTGGAAGAAAACTGGAAAAGTAATTAAATTTATATGCTGATATTGAGTTATTCCTCCTAGAAAATGAAATAACTGATGCCAACATTCCACCATGAACAAGTTAGTTTGACATTGATAAATGGCAAACAAGTTTTTTTGGGATGATAGTACTAGTGGTGAAGGTTTCTTCTGGGGTGTTGTAAATTTTATTTGTTAAGTTGATCGTGGTCCTTTTGATCCTTTGTGTATTTTTATATTTTGCATAAAGGGGATGTTTGATCATGTATTCTTACCTTTTTAATAAGATGGAAGTAATATCTAATCAGATATGGGATTTTATAAAGCTTTAAACCTCACAAATGTAAGGAACTTTTGATACAGATGAGTGCGTTATAATAGGTCTAAAAAGTACTAGAGAAAATGGTACTAGTTTTTTGGTGATCCATGATTGGTATTTCAAATCAGTTGATAAATAATGGCTCTAGGCCGAGACCCATTGTTGATTCACCTTGTATTTAATCAGAAATAAATTTACCTTTTAGTTTATTTTACTTGCATTATGTTAATTTGTCATACAATATTAAGTACTACATTCTGTGTTTTCTTGCTAATTTTTTTTGGGAAAACAAAATCCATTACAGGTCTCTGGTTTGAAGTCTATTACTTCTAAACACTTGGCTATGGCAAGTCAAGTTATCAGCTTCACTTATGCCATCATTCCTGGTAGGTGATAAAATTCTTTCTTTCATGTACTTAAATGAGTTAGATGGTTATATTTTCTTTTTGGTTAATTTAAAGTTTCTCCATTTAAAATTATGCATCCGCAGTGTGTGTTGATATTTTTGTTTGGTAAATCCATCAACTGTATTCATTGAGAAAATATCGGACCTGTTTTCTAGATGTATACATTCAAGTAGCCTCACCCAAATACAATACTTGCTCGCCAAAATTGTTACACAAAAATATCCATCAAAACCGTTAAAAGTTGGTGTACACTGAAACCATTAAAGTAAACAAAAGGGCATGCCAGGATTTTCATCATCTTCAGAAGCTGCTCCCCTTTTGCTCGAAACATTTGGTTCACATAATTAAAGCAGCAGCACTTTTCACCAAGCGATTCCCTTTACCCTCCAATTATGGCAAAGACATTGCAGTGCTTCTGCCTCCAGTACAAGTAAATTGTATCTTCAAACAGTTTGGTTGCATATCTGCAGCACATTAATAGGTGGTTAACGTCCATCCCCTACTCCTCTGCACATTTGATGGCTTTCAAGCATATGTTTCTTTTGTAGTTTTTCTTTCCTGAATTGTAGACTCTGCCTAAATAATTGAAGCGCTATCCAGTGACTGGACTTTTTTTTCTTGGATGTAAGAAATCAGGAAAGCTCTCTCCTTGAAAGTGCCTGAGACATACAAGGGGCTACTGTTGTTAGAGATCGACAGAGTAGCAAATGTAAGAGAATTTTCTCTCTTCCTGTTCTATTTTCTGTAAATAATTTTTTGCTTTTCTGATTCTCTTTGTTATGGTTATACTACCAACAAAATAACTTCCTTTCTTCATAGTTTATTTCTACTACACAGACAATTTCCAAATTAATGTATTTTAGCTTCAGCTATTGTAGGACATTACGAAAAGTTAACTTCATTAATATTTCCAATAGATAATTCCACTCTTTCATTTTATTATGTTTTAATTCATTTACCTTGGTATTTGACCTACCTGAAAATTTTCTAGTATCATAATCGAACAAGCTTTTGTAATGATGCAATGAACCATTAAACAATGTAGTACAAGAAAGGTAGTTTAAGATCTCCCTCAGTTAAAACAGTGGGATGCAGTTGATCAACATCTTGGCTGACAATCACAAAGCCTTGAGGCTGTTGTTGATTATTTTAGCTTCTGAAGAATTGTGATGTTGTCTACAAACTTACGAATCGATGCAAATACAAATTGGCCACAGCACTTATCACCTACATGTGAATGTGATGGTAGTCCTACATCAAAGAAACACAATAACGTGTGAGAGCATTGACCAATGGTAACATAAATTGCTATAGCGTATGAGAGAGAGATAACATTTGTTTTGGGGTAAAAGCAGTGACGTTTTAAGCCCTTGTTTGACCCCCATTCTAACAAAATTCATTTTTCTCCAAACTCAATATTGACCACACATTTTTTTAATAAAATAATTTTATATGTAAATCCAAAACTTTTCTCTACTTTTTAACCACAAATTCTCCAAAAAGTCACTATTCCAAATCTATTTTTTCAAAAAATAGGGTTCGAACACACTCTAAATCAGAGTTAAAAGTAAGGTTTTTATATTAATTTTAATGCTCCTATTTAGTCTTCCTCTTTCTTCTCTCAAAATATTCTTCAAGAGTTAGCTTATCTTGTGGCTGACTTTTTGGACCCAAGGAAGTTAATCAGCTAGAGCACTTTAGAGACGAAACCTCGTTCCTTTTTGATTCTTAAAGCATCCGATCCTTGCTTATTTTGTCTTTCCAAATGAAACAAAAAATGATAAAGTTAAGAGTATATGCAACTGATATCGTCTTACACATTTCTTATGGTGCTTGAACATCACTATAGAACTTTTAATGTTCCTCTGTATAATCAGGTTTTTGTGCAACTATATTGAGGTTGTCAGACTCTCCTGATAAGCTTTTTGACACTTTTGTTTTTTTTCCTTACCTTCAGGATTATAAAGTTCACCGTGATGAGATACACACTAAGCTGGTTCAGATAATGAGAGAAAGATTGGTGGTTCATCTACGTAGCTTGCCACAAATTGTTGAGAGTTGGAATAGATCTGAGAATACTGATCCACAGCCGAGTCAGTTTGCTCGGTCTCTCACTAAGGTAGATAAGAAGGTGCCATTTTATGTAAATTTCTAGCCATGGTTTAAAGATAACTGCCCATTCGTTCCTCACCTCCTGCTCCCTTGGAGATGTCAAGCAATATGAGGGGATATCTTGGAATGCAATATTGATTTATTTTCTTATTGCATTATAAAATATCTACTGTGGGAAAAAAAACTTTCAGAGAGTATTGAAATGAAAAATGTCGAAGCAAATTGAAATATTGGTGCGAAGATGGGTAAAGTGATGAGAAAAGTAATTATTAATTAGTTGCTCCATTTTATCATTTACCAATGTGTTAATTCGAGGTTGCTTTTGTTCAAAGAAACAAAACTACGGCGAACTTGCAATTACATCAATAACTGATCATTTGTTGCTCCCTTTGACCAGTTATTGATGTTCTAATTCCATCGAAAAATAGTTTTTTTTTTTTCAAAAAGTTGAACAGATTGCAGAACTTCTGTAGAACATGCTGTTATTTTCTCCTCCTAAGAAAACAAATTTTTTTCACAAAATAAAAAATAAAAAATAAATTAAAATAAGTGTGCATACAATGCCCAACCATCAAGTGGTTTCTTGGGTTTCATCTTGATGGACCCTTTTTAGAACTCTTCTGATTTTAGTTGTCAATTATCTTCCAATGGTAGACTCTAGTTGCAGAAATAGAGAGATTTCTTTACTTCACATACCCGTGTAATTTTGTACAGAATGAAGAAATGACAGTGACATGTCACCTTTTGGGATGAGCCGCTGTGGCTTGTTACTCCAATAGGAATGCTCCAGTCAGGAAAAAAAAAAGTGATTGTAATTTCTTCTTGAGGAAGTGGCTGTTTGCAGCTCTAACTTTACATACATAGGGAAGATACCAAAGCTTTAGCCTTGGACATTGTTCAGCCTAACATCGTAACTACCATTATTTATGCAAGAAAAATAGGAAGGATATTATGTGAGAGAGAGAGAGAGAGACACACACACACTTGTGATAGTAAATCTATTATAAATTCAAAATCTGGTTCAGTATCTTGCATTTCCTCAAGTTGTTGAATTACAAGTCAGAAGAGAGAGCTTGCATTTAGTGCTTCCTTCTGAGATGAAATTTTATATTTAGTTTACAGAGGAAACAGTGTTTCCCCCCCTCTGGTTGATATTAGCTATAATTCCAAATGTTTTTCAATCAATAGCAAAAGATGCAACTTTTCACTGATTTTTAATTTTTAATTTTTTAATTCAGGAAGTTGGTTTTCTTCAACGTACATTATCTAAACATTTGCTTGAAGAGGACGTTCAAGCTATTTTTGGGTAAGACCTTACTTTCAGAAGTCAGGTTCACCAGGATTTTAATTTGTCGTCCTTTATTTCTCAAAAGTTTGGTTTTCCATTCAAGACAGCTGGTTAGAACATTTATATTCGATTGAAAATCCATTTACAATTGACCGCTTTAAGATATGTTTTATATTTTCTGATTGATACCTATTTCACATGCTACTTGCAGGCAAGTTATTGTGATCTTCCACGCACAAATTTCTGAAGCATTTAAATCCTTGGAGATAAACACTCCACAAGCAAAGAAAAGGTACCAATGACCTTTATACAGCAATACTTTGTATATAAAATTTTTCTCAGTGAGGTTGATCAGATGATGTTAGCTTTATAGCACATTCTTTTTTGACATTTCTCCTCCTCGTGTCTTCAAAGCACAAACTTTACTATGAAGTACATCATTTGCTTTTTTGGTATTCAAATTTTCGGGATACCCTGTGCTAGGCTCTACTGCGACATTCAGCATATTCTTGGATGCATCAGATCGTTGCCTTCTGTAAATTTGGGCGAATCCATTCCACCAAATTGGGGGAAACTTGATGAATTCTTGGCACAAAATTTTGGCACTGAAGCTAGTGAATAGATACTTCATGATGTACTTAATTGATATATTTGGACGAAGGCTGACCATTACTAATTGCATGAAGCTAGTAGCCAGCGCATCAAGTTGCTTCTTTAAACAAGGTAAACTACCTAGCCTTCTGTTGGACAATTTTATTGAATTTCAGAAGTACATCTTCAAACTAATAGTTTAATTGCAAAAGTTCAAATACAAGGCACCCCATATTTCACTAAATGTTATGATTAAGGTGCAAAGTTGCATGGTGAGAAATTATACTAGTCTGAATGCATTTTAAATGGTATGCATCAAGTGTGAAGATAGAAAGGTGCTGTCATTTTATGTTGAGCATAACACATCCCAATTAAGCCCTTTAATTACCCACATAAAACATACTCGTGTCACATTTCAGACAGATGAACTGAACTGAACCGAATCGAACCAAATTCAGATGTCTCACATGGAATAATAGTTTATAATGGTAAAATTTGAATTAATCATGTAATTACACGGATTGGGCGACTTCAGTAAATTCCAATAATCATGTATGAATGGTGGTTCATATTTAAGCTAGTTTTATCAAGTATGTACGGTCTTGTATGTGTGTGCACCAATGTAGAATGCCTTGGACTCTTTATTTTAATAATACTACACATTTTAGCAATTTCTGCTGATTTACAAAGCATATAGAAGCTCATTTGCGTCTATAACTCTTACTTTTTGCTCATGCCATCCTTCTCTCGCTTATTGTGTACTGATTCTTACAGGGAGTCAGTATGCTGAATATATTGTTGCGATCCCATGCTCAATTGCTGGAGGGGGGCTCTGTTTTGTAATACTGTACACAATTTTCAATGATCGTGGTGCTTGCTTTTTGTAGGAAAAACGAGAAAAATATGAGTGTATCCTTTCACGACATGGTCTAGTCTTCATTTCATTTTCCTTTTCCGGGATTGTTCATTCTCCCCTGATGCTGTTTTGTTGTCAAAGACTGTCCCCCCATATAATGTTGTGGGGTTCACCCCTTTTTTTGTTAATAGAAATACTAGCGATAAATGCTTTGCGTTCAAGTATATTTCTAAATTTATCAACGTAACGTCTCAACTTGAAACTCCATTGATAATGTTTAGAAGACACGTTAAAGCTATATTACTTGACTTATTATAAATATTATATCATGCACATTTGCAATCAAGAATCACTAGCAACGCTTCCAAGTATACAGGAAATTGATAAAAATGCATGTTCTTTTCGTTGGCGTAAATTGTGCATTACTCTTTTAAAAGGAGGCATTCGTTATCTTTCCATATTGGGTAATTCTGATAAAATAGTGTTCCCATCCTAATCACTATCATCGCAACCCAAAGTTGGGGTTTTTTAGTTCATTGAACATACCTGAAATAAGTGCGTCCAATAGCAAATTATTGGTTCAACATTTGAAACTGCCAGAAGTAAATTTGAGAACTATTACAAATTTTCATTTTACACAAGCAAATTACTGAACCCATGCATTTGGTCACTTCTTAGGTGCAATCTCCAACACAAATTCTTTACCCACAAGAATTGACAGGTTCGATATCTCCACGTTAACATACCCATTGCTGTTGGCTTTAATGCTTATATCCAAGCGTCTATTCTCTTTTACTCCCGTTCCAGTAACTAAATTATATCTTTTAATCTTGTTGAAACTTTTGTTCAATCCCAGAAAAGTCACCTTGTCTACAATCCACTTCTGATTCACAGCAAATTCTTCATTCAAAACCTCAGATCTTAGTATTATTCTATTCCTTACTATACCACTGTTAAATTTTATCAAACTCCATTTTCCTCCGTCGCCTCCCATTTCCATATCCTCCCCATCATCTAAGAAAACTTCCCCCGAGCTGTTTTCTCTTCTGCTAATTGCCACCAAAAGTTGGAACGGAGTTTTCCGAGCTTCTCGTGTTGTCATTGCTTCTCCTTGCATGGCTAATATGTTTCCTTCCTGAACATGCACATTGATATGATCAGGAGGTGCATCAAGCTTGATATAATTTCCTTGTGAATTCACAGAGCGTGAGTAGTCAAAGAGGTTGAACCAGTTCCCTGCAGGAAAATACGCATCCACAGAAACTGCCCCAGGCTCTAGTACAGGTGACACCAAAATCCCCTTACCGAGTAGAAACTGTGAGCTGATGTTGTAAGTGTTTGAATCCTGGGGAAACGAGAAGAAAATTGGTCTTGCTATGGGTATGCCTTTAGAGTGTGCCTCGTACATCAATGTGTAGAAGTAAGGCAATAGGCGGTAACGAAGTCCTAACACTTTCCTGGCTGTTGTAGTGACTGAATTCCAGAGATATAGCTCTTGACGAATGGCATCCTTGTCCGAATGGTCTCTTGCAAAGGGATAGAACGCCCCTAGCTAATATGGATGGAAAAAACAGAACATGAACCCAGGTAACCTATTTACCTCTTAAAATTCACAGCATTTACAGAAGATGAGAAAGAACAATAAACAATATGACATATCATAGGTGAATCTAATTAAAGAATTATTATATGAAAAGGAAGATCTAACAAAAGTCACGAGATTAAAATTTAGAGACGAAGTCAAATTTTTTAACTTAATTTTCTTATGACAGAACCGTAAATTTTACCTGAATCCAGCGCTGGCAAAGTTCTTCAGTCGTGTTCCCAAAAAAACCACATATGTCGGCTCCAACCATTGGAATTCCAAATATTCCAAAATTCAAGATGCCTGGGATCGAGTATGCCAAATCACTCCAGGTGGCAGCATTGTCTCCAGTCCAGTGAGCCGAGTACTTTCCAGAACCCACAAAAGTACATCTGCTTAGCACAAATGGCCTTTTACCAGTTACATTGATTAAGGCTTCATTAGTAGCTTTGGATTCCAGAAATCCATAGAGATTGTGTGCGTTATACTCTGTAATGTTGCTAAAATGTAGTGACGTTGCAGGTATAGTTTCCTCACCAATGTGACGTTGAATCCCACCACTATTGATCTTATAGGGAGGATTATCAAGAGTTGAAGATGGATTGGGAGGTGAAGTTATGAAATTGGCTACCTCATTCATGTCAATCCACAGGCCATCAACAGGGAGAAGTTCAAAGAATTTTTTGATTTCATTACCCCAATATATTCCAGTGGACGGGTTCAGAAAGTCTGGGAAGTAGGTAAATCCAGGCCAAACTTTGCCAAGGTAAGGTTCACCATTACGCTTTATGAAGATGTCAGCTTGCATTCCTCTTGTGTAGGTAGGATATGTCTCATTTACACTAATGCCTGCAGTTTACGACAATATGTCAATAAGCAGAAACAGGCCCTTTAACTATCATCTAATATTTTTATGTCAACGTTTTTGATCGAAATTGTCAGTCGAAGCAGGGCCCAAAGAGCAGAAGTACATAACTATTTTGATTGGTGAGCTTACCAGGATCTAGGATGACCACATATTTCTGACCATTCTGGTGAAGTGCATTGACAAATTTCTCCATCTTCTCCGCGGGAAAATTAATGGGATCAAGAGTGAAATCTTTGTAGCCATCCATGTAATCAATATCTGACCACATAACGTCTAGGGGAATTCTAGCTTCTAAATAACCAGCTACCACATTCTCGAGGTCATAGATATCTTTGTAACCCCAGCGGCACTGATGAAATCCTAGAAATGAAGAAAGGACACGACTTTTCTCAAGAACCTTATGAATTAAAGAACTTGGACTAAGAAACAGATTATAGAAATTGAAGGTTCATAACCAAGCACAATAACGATAAGTTGGCCAAACCACGAAAAGCGAGGCTCATAAATTGATGCAATGTAATGCCCAAAAGCAAGCTCCATACCAGGTCTCGTGATTTTCAAGGAGCGAGATATTTGAGGAAATGCCCTTGGAAATACATTTCATTTAATATCACAAATTTCATATACTTTTTTAAGTATATTTCCTTTAGATGGCTAATGTTCTTTGGACTTGTGGTTTCAACAGAGAAATGACGAATGAATTCTATTCATGACTTCTATCTAGCATTCTTGAGTTGCCTAAATATCCGTATAGCATTGCTTCCTCTTAGATAACTGAGAAATTAGTTCTGGAAACAATCGCCAACTTTGCAATCTAATATCACACCATCTTCAATCATCTTCAAATAATACAGTAGGGATTAATTCCTGACCGTGAATTGGAACAACATAACCCCCTGATTCCTAAAAGGCGCTATCATACTTACCAAAAGACCAATAAGGCATAGGTGCAGGGCGGCCGATAAGCTCAGTGTACTGTTCCATAACCATTTCTGGCGCTGGCCCAGCAAAGAAGTATAAGTCAAGCATTCCACCAATCACCTTGTAGGTAATCCTATCTCCAGTGTACACAATATCCATCCCATTGCTATTGAGTAGCAAGACTCCATGACTGGTCCCACGAGGGGACCGGACGTCCAAGTAGAAAGGGTGAGATCCATACAAGTTGAGATCAAGGGTCTCACTGGCAATGTTGGCATTCCACAGGGTAAGTGTTTGGTTGTGCTGCAGCCTGAATGAGCTCTTTGTGTGCTCCCCTAAGCCATAAAGATTGGAAGTCTCACGTGGCAAAGCGGAAGAGAGTTGAAGATACTGGTCTTTGAAGACGAGGTACGTTTCGGGGTCATCGTTTACTGGGCTGGTGTTAAAGAGGGTGTCGCCGGAGGAGAGGCGGCTGACGGCGAACCCAAATGGGGTAGTGTTTAGGAGGGTGAAGGTGAGGTCAGAGGTGGGGTCTGAGAGGAAAATGCAGTGGTTTTTTGGCGGTGAAGGGTGGTTCCCGGTGAGGTAACGGCGGAGTGGGTAGTAAGATTGGCGGGGGAGGACTTCTTGAGGGATTTCCCATCTTGGCTTGTTGGCATCTGTAACTCTGATTCTCAAACGGTCCTTTGTCTCGAAGCTGTGAGCAAATCAAAGGAACAAAAGCCAAAATATTATGCACCAAAACTTTGGCAAATGGCAATTAAGGTTTATAACCTGCTCATTTTCGAATTAGCTGACATTCAAAAATTTGTTCGGAGAAAGTAAAAATATTTATTTACCTATCGTAATAAATACAAAACTTAAACAAAAATATTCCCAACGCTTATAAGAATGTTTGGACAGAAAACCATCATCAATAACAAGAAATATTAATTAATCAAATGTTAAAAAGGGGCCCGCAATATACTTATTTCTTTTGCACAACTCTTAAATTTCACTAAAGATACTTAACTTTTACTTATTGTCATATTTATGCCATCTAACTTTTTTTTTCTCTTCTCATTGCTAAAATGAGTAATTTTGTAATTCATGGATAAATAACTTGCAATTATGTTAAATGTCCCAATGGTGACTGAACTTATGTCTGTATCTTCGATTGATCACTGAAGTTTAAGATTTCAAGTTTTGGCTGCTAAATTTATTCAAATATTGGAAGTTATTACTGACATAACATTCGCTTCAAACATTTCATATAATTAGTGACGTGGCTAATGAAATACACATGTGATGTCTTGTCAAGCCATTAACAAATGTCACATCTTCGATTGCTCGCTAAATATTAAAAAAAAATTCGATTGCGCACTAAGCTTTGACAAATATTTTCGATTGTTTACTAAATTTTGAGATAGTCGAATTCTGGCCACTAAAAATTCACTAAACTTTGGAAATGTCTTCGATTGGTCATTGAATTTTGATGTTGTCGAATTTTATCAACTAAACTTATAAAAATAATGTCGACATATTGTTTGTTAAAATTTGTGTACCACAAGTGCATGAATCGCGTAAAAGTAATAAAGTGGACAAATGAGTTCGAATTGTCGATCCAACGAGAAATGATTACTCAATTACATAATAGTTAAATTTAATTTTGACATATTTTTGTGAAATCTTAGGATATTTTCATCATTTAAAAAGTTTAAATTTATTGTGTGTTTTGTTGTTAAAATTAAATAAAACTAAATTTGAATTTTGTAACAAAAGACACAATCGTTGCAAAAATAAAATGTTAATTTTATTTTATTTTAGCAACGAAAAAAACAATAAATTTGAATTTTTTAAATGATGAAAATAGCTTAAAATTCTACAAAAATATGTTACAATTAAATTTAACTATTGTGTAATTAAGTAATAATTTCTTGTAAATTGATAATCCGAACTCATTTATCTATTCATTACTTTTATGTGACCTCATGCGTTTGCGGTGTACATTTTTTAACAAACAATATGCTGGCGTCATTTTTATAAGTTTAGTGGCCAAAATTCAACCACCTCAAAGACAAAGTTCAGTAGCAATCAACGATGTATTTCAAAGTTTAGTGGGCAATCGAAACGTTTTCAAAGTTTAGGAAGCAATGAAAGAAGCTTTAAATTTTAGTGGCCAAAATTCGACTACCTTAAAACTCAGTAAGCAATCGAAGACTTTTTTCAAAGTTTAGTGAGCAATGAAAGACACTTTCGTACGGGCTTGTTAACAGCATAAGGAGCGCCAAATGTGCATTCTATTAGCCATGTCACCGATTCAGTTAAAGGTTTGAAACGGATGTTAGCCTGTCAAGAACGTCCAACATTGGGATAAAGTTAATTGACACAATTGACTCTTTACTTAAATTTGACTACTTTCAAGCCAAACAGATGTGCTCTTGTTCTTCTATATTCAATTGATTTTGTGAACAGCATGTTTAAATTGAATGAAACTGAACTCAGTATATAATCTAAAAATATTTTTGAATAATTGGGATGAAGAAGAGTTCAATTACCTGGCAGTGAGGGTGAGGAATTGAATATCAGGACCGAGAATCGAGGAATTATTGATGAGCTGAAGATGAGCAGTCAACGTCTTCCCCGATGAATCGCCAATCACGGATTGGATGCTGTAACCATATCCAATTGCTTCTTCACCTCCTCCTTCTTCCTTCGATGATGATGATAATATGAAGAAGATGAACAAACAGATAAAAACAAGGTTATGAAGATGTTCTGATCGGATTCTTCTGTGCATTTGCTTCAGATTTAAAGTGGAGATTTCCTCCTCAATCAATTATTCTTTTTTTCTTGGGTTGATTCTGAATCAATTATTGTAGTCTGCTCTCTTCTTCACAAATTAGGATTTAAATCTCAAACTTCAAGGGCCCCACGTTGATCATCACAAATCTCTGCACTCCACGATAACAATATGATAATTTAACAAGACAAAAGTTGTTGAACCTTTCTCCTGTTAGTGTTGGAAAAGAAAAATGGTAGCAATATAAATTAAATAATTCTGAGTTTAGTTTGATGTTAAGAAATTTTGGTTAGAAGGTTAGAATCTAGTATCAGTGGTTGTAAGGTAGAATTAAATGATAAATCTAATTGAATGTGTTGTTAAAAGATTCATTTAATTGAATCTATCATATGTTGTCACTTAGATTGGTGCTTAACACCAGTGATGATGGATAGTAATGCTCTTTTAATTATTGCTCAAATTTGGTTTCACTATTTGATTATTTATAACAAACTTTCCATATTAGCAAAATAAAAAAGCTTGAAAAAGTGTCTAAACACTGCATTTGACACAATAAGTTACTCTCTGTGTTTGTCATGCACATTTCATTCGCGTCTACTTGTAGCAAATTGTATCACACTTGTACCAAGCAATATTACTCGTAGTAGCTGCTACCGTTGCCACTACTTGTACCCACCACCATCGTCACCGCCACAAGACCGGCCTGCATCTTTCACCACCATCATTTTACCGCCAGAGCACTACCACCCTCAACACCACCACCACCACTCACACAACGGCGAAACACCAATCCAAAAAAAAAATCACGACAAGAAGAAGCAGCAAACTGCAGATCCGCAAAAACATGGGGGTCAAGAACAATGGGGGTTCTCTTTTCCCCATTTCACGACCACATCAATCAATTCAGGGTACGATGGATTTAATGGAGGCAAGGCAATAGTGGTCCGATGGATTTTTATGTTGGCTGTGAAGGTGACTGTTGGCAATAATAGTGGTGGTGGTGGTCTAATGGATTTTATGGAGATGAGTTATTTTGAATAAAACAATTGTTCGAGCATAATCACTGCAAACCTAAATAAGTGTTTCCAGCAGCAATTGCAAATTATTGGTTCAACATTAGCGACTACCATAGTGTAATTGTAAAATTGAAAACAATTACAAATTTACTTTCACACAAACACATAACTGAACCCAAATAAAAGTTGTAATCTCCAACACAAATTCTTTTGACAGGTATTGACATACCCATTACTGTTGGCTTTAATGCTTATTTCCAAGTGTCTATTTTCTTTCACTCCCATTCCATTATCTAACTGATATCCTTTAATCTTGTTGAAACTTAAGTTCAATCCCAGAAAAGTCACTTGTCAGCTTGCATTCCTCGTGTAAGTAGGATACGTCTCATTTACACTAAGAGTGTAATGCCTGCAATTTAAGGTAACATGGTCAATAAGCAGGAACCGGACTCTTTTAACTATAGTCCAACATTCTTATGTCAATATTTATTTTATAAAAAATGTCGGTTGAAACAGAGCTCAAAGACCATAAGCATATATTGATTTGATTGGGAGCTTACCAGGACCACATATTTCTGACCATTCTGGTGAAGTGCATTGACAAATTTCTTCATCTTCTCCCCGGGAAAATTAATGGGATCAAGAGTGAAATCTTTGTAGCCGCCCAGGTACCACATATATGTTGAGTCCTATTGTTCCTATTCCACACAGATAGGACTCTATCACAGGAATTCTATCTTTATTCAAACACATCAATGGAACAATATTAATCAAGTTGCAACTTCTAAGTATGGTATTGATAATCCATAACTAATCAAGATGGGGTGAATTGATTTTTTAAACTTTTTCGACAATTAGTCTCAAACTTATTTAATTCACAAGATACAAATGCAAAATATAGTACGAGAAGTAAATATGCAAATTCAATAACTTAATTCAAGTATGGATATGACACAATATAAATGACAATTAAAAGTAAAGTGCATGAATATAAAGATAACAAGCGAATTTGATGGGGTACGATACACAATGTGTTTTACGTCCTCATTACTAAGCTCTCCGTCACGAGCAAGACTAAATATACTAAAATGGTAACTTACAATCAAGGAGTACCGATCCTTAAGTGACTTACAATAAAGAGCACTCATCCTTAGATGACTTACAACAAGGAGCACATATCCTTAACAACGATCGAGTTTTCAAAGGGCTCTCGAAACCACTTAAAATGTAAGTAATAATTTTACAATTGAAATAACTCTCTTAACAAATGATATAATCAAGTCAAGTGTTTCAAGAGTTAGGATAACACTTCAATAGATAGCAAATAGTAAAGTTAAAGTGTTTTTGTTGTTAACTTTGATGAATGATGGATAATGAAACCGTTTATATTTTTGTATCAAAATTTCCAATCAATGATCTTTTTTAACAAATAATACAAGTTAAGTATGAAGAGAGATTTACATTTCAATATAAGTGTTGGCAAAGAAAACTTTTATCAAGAATAGAGAAATGGATGAGATTGAGAAGTTTTCTTGCAAAGTAGAATTCTTGATGAAAATAGATAAAACTAGTTTTAATCAATCAAAATATTCTTTGTAATAAATGAAATGAAGTATATAATCAAGTAAGCTCGATGATTTTCAATAAATAAACTCTCTTGATTGCTTTTGTAGGTTGGTGGAATTGAATGCAAAAAAGATGGTTATTTATAGATCAAAAGATTGAAAATCAGGAGATTTCGGTTGAGCAATTTCAGTTGAACTTTGAGCTTGCTTCACTGCCACTCTTTTTGTGGTGTTATAGTGGATCGGGCTGATGAAAACATTTACGTGAATGGGTTGTACTGAATTTGACACTATAGACAGTTACCTGGCCCAAATAGATCCCATTAATTGCAGGAATAATACATTCAATCTATAAGTCCACCTACACATGGATTGAGACGAGTCATAGAAAAATATATGGAAAAATTCATATATCAGATTTATCCTACATACTATTTCAAAAATAAGAAAACAATTTTGAAATTTCTAAAATCAGATATTTTGACATGGGTTATTCCCCTTGTACCCAGGGGGGATAACCGAATGGTGCCCCCCCTCACATGGGGGCACGGACCCCATGTGTTTTTAAAAATGTCGGCTCGTGGTCCCCACCTCCTAATGTGAATGGGGTGTAAAAAATTATGTACATGTAGCATAACCCTTTTGACATATACATACACATATATTTATATATTTTTTATTTATATATATAAATATATAAAAAGATATATATATATAACCCACCCCACCTCCACCACCCCTACCGCTCCGACGACCATTTCGGCAACTACTCCGATTCCGACGACTATGCCGATGATCATTCTGACGATTATTCCAGTAAATGTGACCTATATTTTTGAACCGTGACTTTACAAACACATGTGACATGTTAATATTGATTTTTGGTCACAACATTTTTATAGGTTAGACGGTCACAAACTTTCAAATTAGTTAGTCACAGATTATATAATTTTTAGGTCACAGATAACAAAATGGTTGGTCACGGATTATATTTTTAGTCACAGATTATTTTATTGGTCACGGATCAAAAAATTTATATGTCACTGGTCAAGTGTTTTCAAATTTGTTGGTCACAAATTATTTTTCTAGTTACAAATTATCAATTTTAAGGTCACAGACATCAAAAAGAACGACCACTGCCGTTGACACGGCCACAAAACCACTACAACAATAACAAAAAATAACCACTAGGGGTGTCCAAAAGTCCCGAACCGAATCGAGCGGTTCTTCATAAATTAAATACACGAACGGGTACCCAAATCGAGAACCGATGGGTTTGGGTCGGGTCTCGGGTCTAGACCAAGAATCGAAAAATCGAATAAGAACCGAAACTAAATAAATTTTTTATTTTTTATATTGAATTAATTAAATTATTTTATTTTTTNTTGAAATTTTTAAAATCAGATATTTTAGCGCGCGCGCACACACACACACACACACACACATATATATATATATATATATATATAACCCACCCCACCTCCACCACCCCTACCGCTCCGACGACCATTTCGGCAACTACTCCGATTCCGACGACTATGCCGATGATCATTCTGACGATTATTCCAGTAAATGTGACCTATATTTTTGAACCGTGACTTTACAAACACATGTGACATGTTAATATTGATTTTTGGTCACAACATTTTTATAGGTTAGACGGTCACAAACTTTCAAATTAGTTAGTCACAGATTATATAATTTTTAGGTCACAGATAACAAAATGGTTGGTCACGGATTATATTTTTAGTCACAGATTATTTTATTGGTCACGGATCAAAAAATTTATATGTCACTGGTCAAGTGTTTTCAAATTTGTTGGTCACAAATTATTTTTCTAGTTACAAATTATCAATTTTAAGGTCACAGACATCAAAAAGAACGACCACTGCCGTTGACACGGCCACAAAACCACTACAACAATAACAAAAAATAACCACTAGGGGTGTCCAAAAGTCCCGAACCGAATCGAGCGGTTCTTCATAAATTAAATACACGAACGGGTACCCAAATCGAGAACCGATGGATCTGAGTCGGGTCTCGGGTCTAGATCAAGAACCGAAGAACCGAACAAAAACCGAAACTAAATAATTTTTTTATTTTTTATATTGAATTAATTAAATTTTTTTAAT